GCTGGCAAGAGGGTCAGTGAAAGCGAGGAAAGTCCTCAGTGCGATGGACTGACAGGACAACCTCAAACACAGCAAAGATCACCGAGAGGCACAGGACCGGGCAACACCTCATTCTCTTATATGTAAGGTCACCATGAGCCAGAGCCATCTCACAGGCAACTAACAACAACCTCCATGGAACCCAATACTCCACAGCAGCTGAAGACAAAGTGGAACATGCTGGAGGGAGAAAGAGGTACGTTACATATTAATTGAAAAACAAAACAAGTTGCTGTTGTTATGATGTGTTATTGAGTCGGCCCTGACTCATAGCGACCCCTCCTTGGGTTTCCGAGGCAGTATCACTACAGAATAGATTGCCCAACCTTTCTTCCGACAAAACAATTTGAGCAACAAAATATATTCTATGATTCTATTATTATAAAATACCTTAGTAAGACAAAAAGGGCTCTCTGTATGTACAGATAGATAAAAGCCTCAAACCCTTCACTGGCAATGCACTAGTAGTTATTTCTATGCGTGAGACTATGGGAAGAATTCTACTTTGTATTTTTTAATTGTCTGTATTGTTTAGTTCTTTCATTATTTATTAAAAAATGTATATTAATTGGGCAATTAGAAAATAACAATAATATAAAAACTAAAACAAAGTCTCTCCCTTCCCCTTTCTGAATAATTTAACCATTAAAGTGCAGTGGAGCTCTGGAGGCAGAGGTAGTGGGCCAGAGGGAGTGGCAGGGTCTGCACAGACAAGGAAGGCTCCACAGCATGTGAGCACCTGGAAGGGTCGGGAAGGTTGGCATGGAGTTCCTCAAAAAGTTACACACAGTTAGTATATGGCCCAAGAATTCCACTTCTAGATCATGTCTAAGAGAAATGAAAATATTTGCCCCCACAAAAACCTGTACACAAAAATTCACGGTAGCATTATCTGTGATAGCCAAAATGTAGAAACAACCCAAAAGTCCATCAACTGATAATGGCTAAACAAAATGTGGGGAAGGGTACTGCAGAGTGGATGGGAGAGGGGTTACATATAGGAGAGTGATCAAAGAGGTACACACATTAATGACAACAGAAACAGGTTTCCTGCTGTTGGAGAAAGAAATCTACAAAAATGGAAAGGGAGGAAATTAGAATGAACCCTGGAGTACCCAACTGAAATTAGAGGTTTCAGTGTGAACTCATGGATTTTGATATACACACCTAATTCCTCACTTATTGACTATGTCATAATTTTACATTTCACATTCATGACAACAGTAAAAAAATCTACTTTACAACGATTTTGCAAACAAAACTCAAAATCATAAAAAGACCGGGTTTGCTGGTCTGACTGTGACTGGTGGAACCCCTGAGATTGTAGCTCTTACATTGCCTTCAAGCCTGGAACCGAACCCATTAACTTTCAGCAAACAACAGACAGGCCTATAAATATATGAATACCCAAAGAGGAATGTACTCCTCAGAACAATCAACTATATGAGACCAAAAAGGCAGCATATGCCCAAAAACAACGCTCAGAAGGCAGGAAAAGGCAGGAAAGCGGGACAAACATAAACTGAGGGAAATGGAACACAGAGAGGAAAAGGGAAGAATGCTGTTAACGGTGCGGGGAAGGCAACCAATACCATGTAATAAAATGACATAAATTGCTGAATGGAAATCTAGCTTATTCCGTAAACTTCCACCCAAACCATCATAAAAAGTTTCAAAAAAAAAACAAGAGAAAGAAAGAAGTAAGTTTAATGAGACTCCCACTGGTCATCACAGATTATAACTCATTGGATAAAGCAGGAGATCACGTGTCTGGATGGATGGATGGACGGACTGATGAACTGAAAGGCTAATGAGGGATGGGACATTTATAGCTTCAAAAAACTTCCCTACTTAGAAATTGCATTACAAAGAGAAAAAGGTAAAAAGCCTGGAAATACAGCCTTAGTCAAGTAAATGATCAAAGCAAACATCACCAGTAATGGATCAAATGGAACCATGTCCCAACTGATAAGAGACAATGAGACGAAGGCAGCATCACTTCTGTGAAATTCCTGCCAAAGATCCATACACTGACTCTAACCACAAGGATCAGATAAATCCAAGTTGAGAGACATCCTATAAAATAACTGGCCTATAATCTTCAAAGACATCAATGTTATGGAGGTCAAGAAAAGCATGAGGATCTGTTCACCAACATACCAATCTATCTTAGAAGAAGTATAGCCAGAACGCTCCTTGAAACAAAGATGGTGAGACTTTGTCTTATGTACTTTGGTCATGTTATCAGGAGAGACCACTAGTCCTGAGAGAAGAACATCATGCTCGGTCAAGTAGGTCAGTGAAAAAGAGGAAGGCCCTCAAGATGGGTTGACACAGGAGCTGCAACAATGGGTTAAAAGACAGCAACAACTGTGAGGATGGTGCAGAGTTTCATTCTGGTGTACACAGGGTCATAAGCCATTTGACTGCTAACCAGAAGGCTGGTGGTTCAAACCCACCAGCCACTCCTCAGAAGGAAGACTGGGCAATCTACTTCCCTAGTAATATTGCCTCAGAAACTCAAGGAGGGGTCACTATGAGTCGGATCCAACTCGACGGCAGTGAGTAAGAGTGAGAAACACCTCAACAACAGAGACATAACAACAAAATACAATGATTTATCCTAAACTGCATCCTTTTACTATAAAAGACATTATCGGGACAACTGGTAAAACTCAAATGGGGTCTGACGATTACATGGCAGTGATGTATCAATGTTAACCTCCTAATGTTGACAGCTACATTGCTGTTACACAGGCAGCCATCCTTGGTTTAGAAAATGTACATTAGACTATTTGAGGGTGATAGGGCAACGGGTTGGCAACTTACTCTTTTGTTTTGTGTGTGGTATAAATGTACATGGCAAACCATTTGCCAACAGAACAACTTCCACATTTACAATTCAATGGCATTGATTCCATTTTTCACATTGTGCCACCATTTTATCACTATTCTTTTCTAAAATAGTCTATCATCATTAACATAAAACTAATGCCCTCCAAAGAATAGGCAACTTACTCTTGAATGATCAGGGGAGGGGGGTGAGTGAAAATTCTTTGTACTTAAAACTCAAAACTAAAAAAAGTAAGTGAAAATAAAACCATGAGTATGTCATGGTAAATTACCAAATAAATTCTGATTGTTACATACTGGCATTGTCTCCAGCAAGCCCAACAGTCCTGCTTTAACTCAGGAGACTATAAATGATCACGATGGGGATAAAGCTCACTGCTTAACCAGGACCTATGCTGCTGTGCTCCGAGGGCACTGGGATTGCCTTCCAACCCCAAACATCTAGAACATCTACAGACACAGAACATGTCCCCAGCCCTTTCCACACATTTGGGAGCCTGGAAGGAGCTCTGGTAGTACAATGCTTAAGGCATTTGGCTGCTAACCAAAAGGTCAGAGGTTTGAACCCATCAGCTGCTCCATAGAAGAAAGATGAGGCAGTCTACTTCCATGAAGATTTACAGCCGTGGCAACTCAATGGGAGTGGCTATGAGTCAGAATCAACTCGATGGCAGTGAGTTTGGTTTTGGTCTGGGGAAGCTTAGACAGCTCCGGACTATAAATTGTAAGAGGTAAAGGACTTACAGCTCCTTCACAACAGTATATCAGCATCTAGCACAAAAGAGGTTCATAAATTGCTGCTAAGTGAATGAATGAGATACTGGCGAGTATTTTGCAGAACGCTTACTCCTTTGCCCAACATCATTTATGGCAAGCCTGTGTTCCTACTGGCCTGCGACTCACACCTTTAGTCAAAGTAAACCAAGAGGTAAACAAGGCAAAGACACTAACTTGGAATGGAAAGAGCAGCAAGACCAACAGGCCACACTCCAACCCAGAAAAACAGCAATAATTATTCTATCTCCTATTTGCATAAGGCTTTAATATTTCCTAAAGAGCTCTGGTGGCACCGTGGGTAAGACATTTGGCCACTAACCAGGAGGTCGGCAGTTCAAACTCACCAGCTGCTCCATGGGAGGAAGATGAGGCAATCTGCTTCCATTAAGACTTACAGCCTTGACAATCATGGGAGAAAGAAGGGCTGCTTATGCACAGGGAGACAGCTCAGGGGGCAGGAGTATATGGAGGGATGGACACTGGGAAGAGGTAACTATGGGGAGGAAGTGGGAGGGGAGCTGTTGCATTGTGGTAAACTGTGGTCAATGACATGAGACAAAGTATATGTGAATTGTTATATGGAAAGTGAATTTGCTCTGTAAATCTTCACCCAAATCACAATAAAAAAGAAAAAAGACTTACAGCCTTGGAAACCCTATGATGGTCAATATGAGTCACAACTGACTCAATGGCAGTGGGTTGGGTTGGGTTTGGTTAATATTCCCAAATTTCTTTCCATCCATAATTATGTCCAGTCCATACAAATGAAATAAGCTACAGACCTCCAGATTAAGTCAAATCCCTCTGTTATACACTGCCTAGTACCCTGTGCCATCTCCTTGGTAACCCTTGTGACACATATAACTATGTATGATGGTGTGTGTGATTATTTAACTAATACCTGTCCCCGCAGTGGACTGCAGACTCCAGAAGAGCAAGGACTGTGGGGTTTTTTCACCAATGTCCCAGTGCCTCACACATGACAGACACCTCAGGAATGATCACATGAATGAACAAATGGATGGATGGCAAAAAGATGGATGGGTGTGTGAGTGGAAGGATGGGCAGACAAGTGGGTACTGATCTACCCCCAGCCCCCTAGCCCAGCTCTACCTGCTGCTGCTGGGCCCGGAGGTCACCAATCTCTTTCTGGTCCTCCTCGTGGAGCCGCTTCATGTCCTCCCATGACTGCTGTAGCAAGTTACGTTCCCGCAGCAGCTGCCCATTCTCCCGTCTCAGCATGTCCACATCATCCTTTAGCTGGGTCTGGTCACTCAGGAGCCGGCTGTGGAGTGTGCTGAAACGCCCCATCCACACACATACAGATGAGCTTCAGCCTGCCTCAAGCCCCCACTAAAGACATCACCAGCTCCTCCAGGTGCCAAGACCCCTCCCCCACCCCGGCCACACACAAGATGGGAACCAACACTGTCAGGTCATCAGCACTCAGAGGTAAGCCAAAGCTCGGCATCAGCTAAATTCCAGAACATCCCAAACCACTTTTGAAAACTCTGATACCAAAAGAGGCGTGTGTATAAGGCCAAAGAGAGGAGATAAGCCTCCATTTTATATGACCCTGGCACCTCCAAGTACTGAGGCCTGGGCAAACATCAGCAGGTGAGCCAGCAAACACCCTCCGAAGGGCACCAGGAGATCACAGGGGAACCTGCCCCATCTGCCTGTCACATAGCCATGAGCTATGGCAAAGTCCCTGAACAGTGGCTGAGAACCAGGTAGTCCCCCTGGCCCACTGCCCAGTGTTTTACATCAATCTCCTATCTACTATGCTGCTGAAGCAGGCAATAAGATGATGTCAGGATTGATACCCTTCCTTTACACTTAGGAAAACTGAGGCCCAAAGGCACAAACCCATCTCCTGAAGGCTGAATGCTTGCCAAGTGGCAGAGGTCAGACTAGATCCAGGATCCTCTGGCTCCAAGACCAGAAGGGCAGAAGGCAGCCGTTCTGTGGACACTGGGAAAGGGCAGAATGCAGCTGTTGCATGGATGCTTCGAGCCCTTGCCAAGCAAATCCCACTCACTGGTAGAAGTCGGTTTCCTTGGCCACCTCCTCGCACCTCTTCAGGGCATTGGTGTGCTGGTTCTGGAGGCTCTGTAGGTCTGACATGGCCCGAACACACTGGATCTTCAGCCTCTCGTAGTCAGGATTCAGCCTGTGGTAGGGCCTGGCCCAGAAAGGAAAACAGCCCATGACCACAGGCCCCAGTTTTGCAGTGACAATCAGTGTCTCTCAGCTGAGAGGCACGTTCTGCCACCTCCACAAAGCTTTCCAGGGTCACTCTAGCCCACCAGTTCCCAAACGCTGGTCTCCTATGCACCAAAATCACCTGGATGCTTGATAAACCCAGATGTCCTGGCTTCACCAGAATCAGAACCCCCAAAATTAAGGGAGCCTTGGTTACCTGAGCTCCCTCTATCCCCCGCATGTACCTGGAAAGCTGAGAAGGTACAGTCCTGTTCACTAAGAGCGTCAAAGAAACCATGTACACAAAGCGGGTCTACCCACAAACCTGTGGTGGGACCCTAGCAGTCCTTACAAGGCGCTGAAGGTTCTACTCTCTTTAGAACAGTGATTCTCAATCCTGGGTACACATTAAAACACCAATGCCCATGACTCAACCCTGTGCCTCAACTTTCAGGCAAACAGTAGAAAGGTCTACAAGGTGAACAATAACATCAGGGAGATACACACATATGAGGCCAAAAGGGTAGCATTTTCTTAGGAATAAAGCTCAAAGAAGGCAGGAAGGGACTGGAAAGGACAAATGGAAAGAGTAAACACATGGCCGAAGAGTGCTGTCACATTGTGGGGATTACAATCAATGTCACAAATCAAAATGTGTATGAATTGTTGAACGGAAAATCTATTTGTTCTATAAACTTTCACCTAAATCACAATAAAATGTTAATTAAAAAAAAAAAAATCCCATAAGGGGAAAATGCAGAACAGAATTTCAAATTCCCATAGAATACAGATATTCTGGAGCCACTGAGGTTGGAAGAACCCCCAAAATTATTACTCTAAGATAAACTTTAAACTTTCAACTGTAAATCAAACACATACCCCCCAAAGTCCTCTTTAAATATAATAAAAGTTAAGCCTAACTAGTACAGAACGTTGCCTTGAGAATTATCTACATGGGATCAAACTGATAACAGCAACTCAAAAGATTAGATAGGAAACTTAGGGGGCAGTGAGTTTATGTTAATGGGGAACAACAATTTGGAAAAGTAGGGTGAAAATGGGAGCTCTGGTAGCATAGTGGCTAAGGCACTTGACTGCTAACCAGAAGGCTGGCGGTTCAAACCCACCAGCCACTCCTCGGAAGGAAGATGGGGCAATCTACTTCTGTAGTGATACTGCCTCGGAAACCCAAGCAGGGGTCGCTATGAGTTGGGGCCAACTTGACGGCACATACCAACAACAACAGGGTGAAAATGGTCATACAACTTGAAGAATGCAATCACTGTCAGTGAACTGCACGTGTAGAAATTATTGAATCGATGTACGTACTACCATGTATATTCACAACAATTAAATTAAAGACAAAGCTAATTAATGTCAATTGCTGTCAGTAAGTTGTACACCTGTGAAAAGCTGAATTAGCAAACATTGTGGAATAGATATATGTTTATCAATGACCCCCCCGCACCCTCCCCAACCCCCAAAAAAAGAGTAGTTGCTAAGGCTGCTTATACACAACCAAACACTTCACAGGATTTGGTTCCTTGATTTGGAAGTTTTCGGGTCATGGTTTCGTGGGACAGCCCAGTTAACTGGTCTAATAACATGTCTAGTGCTTCTACCTCCTAATTAGTTGCATAGTGCCTAGTAAGCAACCATCCAACATACAACAACCGACAACCGGTCTCTATTCGCCTGGAACAACAGAAGAAGAGTCAGAAACAAGAGGAGGAAATAGAACTTGAACAACTGCCTCCTTTACCATCAGAGCAGAAGAAATGGATGGTGCCCAGCTACCACTATGAACATTTTGCTCAAAGATTCTATAAAAGAATCCTGATTAAAAGGGGGAAAATTATCTAGAACACAGACAGCTGGATGAATCCTGCAACTACTGCCCTGAGATAATCTTTAAACCTTGGATGAAAAATAGTCCCTGAAATCTTGTCAAAATCAAACAATAACTTAATTAGTAAGGAAGGTCTGCCTTGAGCACTGTGCTCTTGTAAGAACTATCTACATGGCAAAAGCCGCTCAAAAGATCAGGTAGAAAATTAGGGGGCAATGAGTTTGTTAATGAGCAGAGGAACAAGTGGGAAAAGAGTGTAATCTGAAAGATTATAATCAGTGTCACTGAAATGCACATGTAGAAACTGTTGAATTAGTATATGCTCTGCTGTGTATATTCTAAACAACAACAATAAAACGAATTATTATTAAAAAAAAACAATGCTCACACCAATTACATCAGCATCACTGGGGTTAGAACCTAGAACTCAGAGCCCCTAGGCAATCCCAATGGGCAGCCAAGGTTGAGAACCCTATCCAGGAGCAGTGTTTCTCAAAGTGGGATACCCAAACCAGCAGCACCAACAGCACCTGGGAACTTGCAATGTGTGGTTTATCAAGCCCTCCAGGTGATTCTGACGCATGCTCAAGCTTGAGAACACCTGCCCTACACAGAGGTCAACAAACTTTTTCTCTAAAAGGCCAAGTAATAAATATTTTGAGTTTGTGGATAGAACAGTCTCTGTTGCCACTGCTCAACTCTGCCACTGTAGCATGAAAGCTGCCATAGACAATATGTAAATGAATGGGCACGGTTGTGTTCCAATAAAAAACAAGCAGTGGGCCAAATTTAACGCATGGGCGATGCTTTGCTGACTCCTGTTCGAAAGCTTCTTTGTCTTTGCTCCTTCTGCCTTGTGACATCTGACTAAGGGGCATATTCCCATAAAAACCATCTCTAGGATCAGGTTTTGTAGCTGTGACATCATCCCAGAGGAGCCTTCCTCAGAATAGGGCACAGATCAGTGATACTCCTAAAGGAAAGATATTACACCCAGGGGCTTAAATCACTCCTCTCTCCCCACAAGGCCCCTGGCAGCATCACCCCAGAAGGATGAACTCTCCTGCTTCCCTCCTCCTCCTCCATGAAGCCCACCTGCATCATCCAGGTGGATAAAAGCTCTTCTTCTGTCCCACTTGTAGCTGCCCTTTCTGGTACCTACTGTACCTTTATAGTCCCAATAAAACAAAGGAGCAAAGGTTATCTTTCTTTAATTATGATGTGGGTAGTTTACAGAGAAATTGTAAACTCAACCATTCACACACATACTTTATTTGCTGACTGTGGTGCACTGAATTACTTGATATGGCTCTCCTAGCCATGGTCTTTGTAACTCCCACCAGATGACTGGGTGGAACTAAGCAAATGTAAAGTGCTTGTGGCCCACCAAGGGGACTGGGCCGCCTGCTAATGATATGAACAAGGTACATGGCACCCTTTGGGGTCATGCAATTAAGGTGTATGGAACTCTAATGTGAGAATGGTTAGTTTTGTCATTGTGCTAGGCTTAAAATGAGACCTCCTAGAGGCAGAAGGTGGGATCTCACTGCCATCAAGAGAAAAGAATTGAAATGAATTTGCTCTTAAACTTTCACCTAAATCACAATGCGGGGGAGGAATATATATATATATGTATGAGCTCTGGTAGCATAGTGCCTAAGGCACTTGACTGCTAACCAGAAGGCTGGCAGTTCAAATCCATCAGCCACTCAGAAGGAAGGTTGTTGGGCAATCCTACTTCTGTAGTGATACTGCTTTGGAAACCCAAGGAGGGGTCACTATGAGTCGGGGTGACTCAACAGCACATAACAACAACAATATGTATATTTAATTTAAAAAAGAGAGAGAAAAAAGAGCTGGAGGTAGAGTAGAGCATGTTCTTGGGCCCAAGATCCCTGAGCTGCACCTCCTTGGCAGAGAAAACTGGCTGAGATGACCAGTTGAGGAATCAAGAGGCACAAGACAGAGTGGTGGGCTTGCCAGCCCATGGAGCAAGAAAGCTGAGTGCCTCTGGGCAGAAGCCTTGCTCACAGAGTACAGCGCATGTAAATGTCCCTATCAGCAGAGATAAAAGAGCTTTATAAGACTTGGCACGAGCAGGGCAGAGGCCAGGCTGAGAAGCCAAGGGCCAGAGAAGTGTGCTTGATGGTATAGCAGAGGGGAAGCCGTCGTGATCAAAGAACTGTTATCTTGAGAGCATTCCTGAACCTGAATTATGACCTGTTACTTTTCTAATAAACCCCATAATCATGAGTGTTGTCTGTGAGTTCTGTGTGGCCACTGCAACAAATTACCAAACACAGCAGAGAAGCAGTGAATGCCATGGGAGGGATGGTTGGTGTCAGAATTGGTTAAAAAAGAAAGAAAAAAAAAAAAGGCTGAAGGGTAGTGGCAGGTCTGGCCTAACAGGAATAAGCCTTGGGCTGGTGATGGTGACTCTTATTTCCCCCTCTGTGAGGGTGGGGAAGTTCAGAGGATGTCACCCACGTGTCCTCGTACTGACATTCATTGCAATCCTCACTCCCCACAACACAACAGCACTCTTTCCATTTCCTCCCTATGTTTACTATTTCCCTTCATCCTTCCTTCTTAAGCCTTCCTACCTTCTTAGCTTGATCCCTGGGCAAATGCTACCCTTTTGATTTCGTATGAGTGATCATTCTAATGACTACATACCTCCCCGGTGCTATTATCCACCTTACAGACCTGTCTATTGTTTGGCTGAAGGTTGAGCTGGGTGAGTTCAGTTCCCGGCTTCAAGCATGTCTAAGGACCATAGTCTCAGAGGTTTCACCAGTCTCTATTAGACCAGTAAGCCTTGTCCTGTTTTTTTAAAAAATTTTATATTGTGATGTGGGTGCAAATTTATAAAGCAGATTTGTTTTATACACAACAGCTTACTCACATTTGGTTTCATGGCCCCAATTACAATCCCCAACCATAAAAAGCTTTCCTATCTCCTCCCAGTGACTCTCCCTCCCTTGTGCCTTCTTATCTATGCATCTTGTCTGTCCAGCTTTCCCTCTAAGCAAATACAGCCCTTCTGAGGTTTCAGGCTGATTCATCTAGGGGATGCAGCTCCCTAGGGTAGGTGGGTGGGGCTCCCTGGGGCAGGTGTTCTGCTTGTAGGTCTTTCTACTGTTTGGCTGAGAGGCCTGGTCTTTCTTCTGATTTTTAATTTTGTGCCACATTTTTCTCTCACTCTATTCAGGACCTCCTATTGTGATTCCTTTCAGTCAAAAGATTTTCTTCAAAGACAACAAAGAAGCCAAGTGGAATATATGTGGCAATGGGACGATTCATGTATTTACAAACCACACAAATTCCACTCAATAGTAAGGGAGGCTGCGGTCAACTGGGAGAAAGTGGTACCTCCCACAAGACAGATGGATTCATCAATAGACTAAGCATACCTATTAGAGTGTATGGGAGCTCTGGTAGCATAGTGCCTAAGGCACTTGACTGCTAACCAGAAGGCTGGCAGTTCAAACCCACCAGCCACTCCTCGGAAGGAAGGTTGGGCAATCTACTTCCTTAGTGATACCGCCTCGGGAACCTAAGGAGGGGTCGCTATGAGTCGGGGCCGACTCTATGGCACATAACAACAACAACAACATTATAGTGTGTGTATGTGTGTGCATGGGGGGGATTTGAACAAGATGGACGATGAAAAGGAAAGCCTAGAGAAGGAAGGCAAAAGCCTAGAGAAAAGGAGTGACGAGCCCAAGGCCATCCAACCAAGCAGTGAGGAATCAAAGCAGGAACAGGCCACTCAAGCTGCTGCCCAGACCACCCACCATATGGTCAACTGCAGAGCCAAATGGGAAGGGCTGGTCCAGGCTCTTCTGTCATAAAGACATTCACAACACACACTGCCAGGGGCATCCCCAGATGTGTGATGGGACACATGCACATATGCAGAAACACATATACACGTATGTATACACAAACACAAACATAGATACACATACACACATGTATACAAACACATATGTGTGTACACACACGCACGCACACACTTCTCAATCTTACGATGCGAGGTATGGGGTCCTGGTTCAACCTGGAGACAGCAGAACAGGCCTGTGCTCCTGAAGCCTTTCTGGATGTGAGGTAGGGGCAAGGGAACGGCAGGGGGCGGGGTGGGAAGACCACCATTGACCCATGGGGGTAACGGCAAGGCACGGGGGTTATGGTACTGGAATCAGAGTAATAACCCTCACCCATCAGGCTTGGGCAAGGGAGCTGGTGGGGGTTATTACCTTTTGTCAAAGGTCGTCCCGTGAGTCGCAAAGGCCAGGCGCTTACGCAGCTCATTCCTCTCTTGAGTCATCAGCCGCAGCTGAATGGAGAGGCTCTCCACCTTCTCATTCACTTGCCGGTCAGTGAGGAGAGGTGGTGGGGATGGTGCCTTCCCAGTGGTGCCTGGTCGGAGGACAACAAGAATGTGAAATTGCAGGTGGACAGCACTCACGGCGTGCCAGGCAATGCTATGAGATCTTGGCTTGTGTCAGCTGCTCACAACCACTGGTGAGGTGGGTATTGTTAGTGTACTCTTCCACAGAGGGAACACTGAGTCCCAGTGAGGAAGAGATGAGACTGAGAACTGAGTCCAGACAGTCTGACTTCAGCTTCCACGCATTCAACTATCCACCATCCTAAACTATATTATTGGCTCAGGTGGCCATGGCTCTGGACCTGAGGACACACCCCCCATTCCCAACCTGTCTTTGATACCTCCAGGAAGGCACTGTCTTGGCCTTAATCCTTGCAACCTCACCTGGTCTGGGAACATAGGCTGTCAGCTACCCCTGGCAAGCATCATCTGCTGGCAAGTGAGGCAGAAGAGGTTGACCTGAGTGCTGAGCAGAGCAGAAGACCCAGCCAAGGAGGATGGCACAGGGAGAATCTAGCAGAGCTCCTGAGAATGGGGCAACTAGCTCTGAAGTGGGGACCAACGGCATCTCCCTTTTGTCCCTGACCAGGTTGGCCATGCTGCACAAACTCCCATTCTAATCCTTCCAACTGCCTGCAGGGCCAGCCCAACGAGCCTAGGCATGCAGGCTTGGGGGAGGTCACCCACAGGCGAGGTAAGCATGACACGATTCAGGTAAGCCTTGGGGCCTCTGGCTGCCCAGGCAAGCCTTGATCACCTGTCTCCAGGACTAAACATGTCCTAAGGGAATACCATGCCTTATGCTTTCACAAGAGCTCTTACAAGCCCGCATCTGTAGTCACCATCACCTCTAACAAGCTGCAAATCTGTTTCCAGAAGGAAGTACCTCACTCAAATGCCCTCAGAAAGAACAGGATTCTTTGTGCTTTTATATTTAACTCTGTAAAGTATGTTCCCTTGCTATCTTCTCTGTCCTCACAAGATGCTCAATGGGGTCAGCTGACATCAGCCATCCCATTTTATGGATATGATCCAAGGACGCTGACTCACTCCAGGGACACAGTACTTGTCCTCCAGCAGATGCAAAGAATACATACGGGGCAAGCAAGGTGCCTTCTGACTCCCTGTGCCATCCTGATCACCACCCCCAGCTGCCCCAGGGACAAGCCAAGTTTAGTAAACCCTCCTTGGTTGACTGGTCGCCCAAACCAAGTTTCCTCCTCTACCCCAAGACAACAGACGGGCATACCAGTTGTGGCCTTGTGCCTTCTGTGGGGGTCAGGGAGGATGAGGTGCAACACTGTGGGTCACAAGATAGACCATGGTGTGGGGTGGGACTCAGCTCTCAACTCAGCATTTTTTAAAGTTGGAACCACCTGAACCTAAGGAGCCCTGGTAGTGCAATGGTTAAGCACTCAGCTGCGCACTACAAGGTTCATGGTTTGAACCCACTCAGCGGCCCAATAAGAGAAAGACCTGGTGATCTACTTTCAGAAAGATTACAGTCAATAAAACTGTATGGGGGCAGTCCTACTTTGTCACAAGGGGTCACCATGAGTTGGAATTGGCTCAATGATGCCCAATAACAACGACAATATGTGAATCTAGGGCCTCATGAAGTGCACGTCATTCAAAACCTGCAGAACTGTAACAACCAGGATTCCTTTGCTTCCGCCCAGCTGTTTCGGATGAGAATTTTCTCTGGAGGTGGGGCCCAGAATCAGCATCTGCCATGGGCATCCTCACCCTGCACTGTGATTCCACCAGTGTGAGAAGCATTCTTCACCCATCCCCAAAAGATCCCAGATGCTCACCACTGCCTCTAGGAGTTTGAGGAACCAGGCTGGTTACAGCTCTGTGCAGGCTGTATAACTTCCTCTTCTTCTCCCAAATGAAGTCATTTTCTGCCTCTCACCCACGGCCAGTTCTATCACTGAACCATCTGGTGTGCTATATATGACCTGCCCAACTTTCTGGCAAGGGGGGCTTCGACTGGCTGCATGTCTGATACCCTTTCTGGAGGTGCCTACTGCTCACACTTACCAATTCCAGGGGGAATGACATATGGAGGACTGACAGGGCAGATGGTCTAGAAAGAGTCTCAAAGACCACCCAACAAAAGAGGGGGTTCAATCTTTACATCATGGCCAACCCTCACAACAACAGCCAACTCACAAGACAGACTTGGTGCTTATAATGGTCCAGATATTCATTTAATCCTTACCACAAACCCAGAGGTATGGATTACTACTACCATCCTATATTACAGATGAGAAAACTAAAGTACAGCAATGTTAGTAATTGGATCAAAGTAGCACAGACAACAGTGGCAGCCCTGAAATGTGAGGCCAGGCAGCACTGAGTCAGAGCACATGTCCTTCATCACCACCCTGCTGTCTCCCAAATGACAATGAGTAGCAGTTATTTGGGGTCCCCACCACTCGTCTGGCAGTGTGTTGTACTGTGGTGGCTTGTGTGTTGCTGTGAGGCTAGAGGCTACGCCACCAGCATCTCAAATACCAGCAGGATTTCCCATGGTGGACAGGTTGCAGCAGAGGTTTCAGACGAAGACAGACTGGAAAGAAGGATAGGGCCATTCACTTCTGAGAAAACTGGCCAGTGAAAAACCTTACAAATAGCATTGAAACACTGTCTGATACATTACTGGATAACTTTATGAATTGAATAAGGAAGATCGAAGAAGGGCTGATGCCTTTGAGTTGTGGTGTTGGTGAAGAACACTGAAAATACCATGGACTGCCAGAAGAACAAACAAATCTGCCCTGGAAGAAGTGAAACTGGAATGATCCTTGGAAGCAAGAATGGCGAGACTTCACCTCACCTACTTCGGTCATGTCAGAAGAAACCATTCTCTGGAGAAGGATATTACACTTGGTGAATTAGAGAGTCAGCAAAAAAGGAAGACCCTCAATGAGATGGGTTGACGTAGTGGTTACAACAATGGGCTCAAGCATAGCCAGGATTGTGAGGATGGCACAGGACCAGGCACTGCTTTGCTCTGTTCTACATGTTAAAATGTACAACATTTTTAAATGTAATGGGGTCGCCATGAGTTGGAGCCAACCTGACAGCACCTAATAACAATAACAACAACTTGGTGCAGATGGTTAACATGCTACAATTGAAAACTTGGTGCTTCGAGTCCACCCAGACAAGGCCTGACAATCTACTTCCAAAAAAATCAGCTATTGAAAACCTTATGGAGCACAGTACTACTGAGATACATATGGGTCACCACAAGTCGGCATCAATGCAACAGCAACTGATTCACTTGGAGTCCAGCAGTCTTTCATACGTTATCCCGTTTAATCCCCGTTCTACAGATAAGGAAACAGAATCTTACCAAGGTTAATGTGTCTAGGTTTCAGAGCTAGTGACAGACCTGGGATTTGAATCTTTCTACCTGACCCCAGAGGCCCTAAGTGGTGTAAATGGCTAAAGTGTTCAGCTGCCAACAAAAGGTTGGCAGCTCCAGTCTACCCAGAGTTCCTCAGAAGGAAGCCTGAGCAACCTACTTCTGAAAAATCAGCCACTGAAAACCCTACAGAGCCCAGTTCTACCATGACATACATGGGATCCCCAAGAATCAGACTCAATTCAACAGCAATTGGTTCTTTGCTCTTGTTTTATCTTCTTTTTGGTGGTTTTGTCTCCCCTCAGAGCCTAAGGTCTTAACGTAAAAGTTCACAAAAATTTTGATCCTAGGGCCTCTTTATCTCTTTAAAAATTATTCAGAACTCCAAAGAGATTTTGTTTACATGGGTTATACCTATCACTATCAGTCAGATTAGAAATTTAAATTGAGGGAAAAAAAAAGTTTATTAGCTCATTTTTATAGGTGCCCTGGTGGTGCAGTGCCTAAGGCACTTAACTTCCAACCAGAAGGTTGGTAGATCAGACCCCACCAGCTACTCCATGGAAGGACGACAGGACAACCTACTTCCGTAAAGATTTACTGCCTTGTAAACCAATGGGAGTTGCTATGAGTGGGAATCAACTTGATGGTAGTGAGTTTGGATTTAAAAAAAAAAAAAAAAAAAAAACTCATTTTAAACCAAAAACCAAACTTACTGCCATCGAGTCCATTTTGACTCATAGCAACCCCCACTGGGTTTCCAATGCTGCAAATCTTTATGAAGCAGACTGCCTCATCTTTCTTCCACGGAGTGGCTGGCGAATTCAAACTAACAAACTTTTGGTTAGCAGCCAAATGTTTTAACTACTATACCACCAGAAAAAATCTACTACATATCAGCATAACATTTTTTTTAATGAAAAAGTAACCATCCTTTCCATAACAAAACAAAAATGTAGAGAGTAGGGTGGCCTTCCTTTGTATTTTTGTGAATCTCTGTACTATATGGCTTACTAGTGGACTAGATGGCTAGGTTCTCTTATCTCCTGCAGTGTCAGACCCCATGGATGCAACCTTTGGAAAACTCCACTCTACATCTATGTGAGAATAAGAAGGAAAAAGGCAAATGACATCTTTGTATTATGTGGAACACAGTTTTGATATTGCAGACCTCCTCAGAGCATCCAGCAACACCCAACCACACTGTGAGAACTACTGCTCTCTGTTGTAATCAAGGGCAAGCAGTTATCAGAGAAACATCAAATCTCAGAATGGAAAAAGCACCACCAGGCCCAGCCACCTGTCTCCAGGGAGGCAAGTTTTCACCCGTTTTACAAATGAAGCAATAGAAGAAGGCATCCCAGAAGTGGGGCTCATCAGATGCCCCATACCCCCAGCACTGCTGCAGCTTCCTGACTCAGGCCCCAGCAGGATGAGCCTGGCTCCCTAGTGGGCCACTGATTGGCCAGAAGATGACAGCAGCTGACATTTAGTGAGCACAGCCAGAGTGCTGGTCCCTCTAATAAAAAGCACTCCAACATTATCCCACTAATCCCCAAGTACTCTACCAGATCCATGCTATGGTTACCTCTTGAGAAACTGACATTGAGAAAGAGCATACAGCTAGGAAAACGATGGTCCCCATGCAAAGTA